TTCTTTCATCTCATGGAGAAGGGCGAGAGAGGACGCGACGACGTCATACAACACCAGTTAAAACTAGCACCGCTTTGAGGTTAGAAGATACTTTTTCATGATGCTTTTGGTTTTTGGGTGTCGCTTTTCCTAGCTTATACGTAGGGAATCGTTAGTTCTCTTCCAACAATTGTGTTTTTTTTCAAAACACCTAGATTACTCTTTAATCTTGTTTTTTTTTTGTAAATTATGCACATCACTATCAATATGCGTTTAGGCGCAATCAGCCAAACACGCTACATTCTGGGCTACAACAACCAAAGCGACGCGCCACTGTTGTTAATGCGAGTGAGCAAGAGAAAGAGGTAGTGTTTATCATCACTTATTATGTGTAATCACTAAGTTTATCACTTTGATCTGCAGCTATGATGCAGATGTTTATTGATTTGGTGGGATATCAAATTTTGGTTTGTTTCTACGTAACCTTTCGGTTATGCAGATCTTTGACTAGACTTTCATAAAACATGTTGATAATTTCTCATTAAGATTGCGTTACTTTTATACAAGTTGTTCGCTGCCTTCAAATGTCTTCATTTTAAGAATCGTGCAAGTCAAAATGTTTCCGCTAGCAGCTCGTGTGAGGACATTGAGAGCGCCGTCAACGGCGATAATAACGGCACGATGCTAACAGACTCTTCAGCAGACCTTCTTACTCAGGTACGTTGTAGTCTAAAAGTTCTCGCGGCTTAAAGTCTGATTAGCATCGTAGCTTTAGGTATAGTTTAAAGTTACAGAAAGGCCAAGAATCGCGATTGAGGCGTGCTAGGAGACAACAACGCAGAGAGTTGTCGTCAATTCTCCAACAGTCAATTCTGGATTCGAGTCAGCTTCAAGATTCATCTTTCTTCACGAAAGGTACGTAAACGGAGTCCCACTCTCTTGCAAAAGAAGTTCATCTTATTTTTACAGATCGTGTAAAAGAAAGTCGCATACTCGTGTCAACTGCTTGTTCACCCATTGTTTTCCCACCTACTCC